GACCCCAGGGGCCTCTGTAGGGTCATTACGTGGCCCAGTTTCAGTGTTGCTGTGTCTCGGGAAACAGGGAGGCCCGAAGACGAGGAGGGAGATGGGGGAGCGGCCGGTGGGGACAGCGGTCAGCACACACACGGTTATGGATTGTGTTTGCCCTTACGTGAACGCGGTTCCTGGTCCCCAAAACAATCACGATGGCAACGTCAAAGATCACGGTCACAGATCACAGTGACACATTATGACAAAAAACCTTGGGGCATCTGGATGGCTCAATTAGTTGAGCGTCCAACTCTTTATTTCGGCACAGGTTGTGGGATCGGGCTGAGCGTGGAGCCTGCTTGGGATTCTCTGTCTCCCTCTGCCCCTCTGCCCAGCTCGTGCTCTCTCTCAAAACTAAAAAAAGTTAACTTTAAAAGAAATAATAATAGAAAGAATAAAAATCTCAAAGTATCGTGAGAATTAGCAAAATGTGACACAGAGACAGCAAGCAAGCAGGCGCTGTTGGAAAAATGGCGCCAATAAACTTGCTCAACACAGGGTCACCGCAGACCGATGTGTGGGCAATGCACGATCTGTGAAGCGTACCAGAACGAGGTGTGCCTCAATCAGCAGACCGCCACAACACAGCAGAACTGACAGTGGAGGCAAGCTGTGGAGGGGCAATCACCGCGGCCGCAGGCCTGTCCCCAGGGGCCACAGCCGCACAGACATCCCTAAACACAGGCTCTGGACACAAGCCACGGACGCCGGGGCAGGACAGGACGTGGGATCTGTGCCTCAGGCACTACGCATAACTGCCTATATCCTGAATTTTAAAATCACGTTCCTAAATATGAACGCCTTAAAGCTGGCTCTCAACCCCTGAGGCCCCTGAAGGACTCTTTTTTTTTTTAATGTTTATTTACTTAAGAGACAGCGAGGGGCGCCTGGGTGGCGCAGTCGGTTAGGCGTCCGACTTCAGCCAGGTCACGATCTCGCGGTCCGTGAGTTCGAGCCCCGCGTCGGGCTCTGGGCTGATGGCTCCGAGCCTGGAGCCTGTTTCCGATTCTGTGTCTCCCTCTCTCTCTGCCCCTCCCCCGTTCATGCTCTGTCTCTCTCTGTCCCAAAAATAAATAAACTTTGGGAAAAAAAAAATTTTTTTTTAAAAAAAAGAGACAGCGAGTGAGCACATGCGTAGGGGAGGGGCGGAGAAGAAGAGAGAAAGAACCCCAAGCAGGCTCCCCAATGCCAGCACCGAGTCTGACGTGAGGCTCGATCCCACGTACCGTGGGATCGTGGCCTGAGCTGAAACCAAGAGTCAGGCCCTCAAGTGACTGAGCCGCCCAGGCGCCCCCACCTCTGAGGGTCTCTCAGAGCCACGGACGCAGGATCACATCTGTTTTCTGCCTGGCATCTCCCCATGGACCCCCCAAATAGACTGGGCAAAAGGGGCGCCAAATAAATGCTTGCTAGGAACACAGGTTTGCTGTAGCCGCCCCTGATCGCAGAGCAGGCCGTCCACCTGCACGTGCACACCCCAGGCCGGCCCCTGCAAGATGGGGCGGGAGTAAGGGGCAGGGGCCTCAGGGACCCCCCACCCCGCCGGGCCGGCGAACACCGACGGTCTCTCCCTGAGGGGCTTCCGGGCACCCACAATGAACGAGACACTCCAGCATCGGGTGGGTGGGAGGGCGTTCTGGTGGGGACAGACGACAGACAGAAAATGCATGGGGCCCAATGCGAGGCTGGAAGGCCAGGGCGGCCCCAGGGAGGGGAAGCAAGGCGCCCCCAGGGAGTGCATGCCAGCAGAGGAGGGGCCCAAACCGCCTCAGCCCCAGCGCCCAGCTGCTCCTGCTTGGGCCCCCCTCCGGCTCTGGGTCGAAGTGGGGAAGGGACTCAGCTGCCCTCTAAGGAGAGCGTCCTGACTGTCTGGCCTTTGAACTCATGCACATCTGACCGTTATCCTCCCAGCAGCCCTCTGGGGTGCGGGCAGGGCTGGCACGCCAGCAGCTGAGGGGTCTGAGGAGCCCCACTCGTGGGTCACAGCAGGTGGGGACACGCGGACCAGTGAGCGGTGCCACCCCGAGACAAGAGGGGAGGAGTCTGCGTGCTCACACAGCCGGCATCCCCGTGTGGGCGAGGGCTGGGTTCGTGGGGGGCGGCCACCACACGCGTGCCGCCGGACGAGAGGCAGAGCAGGGACGCGTTGGGCCCGCCGGCGTGGGGAGCAGGCAGGCCTATCTGACCCCAGAGCCGCCTCTGGACCCAGGCTGCTTCCGGGAGGAGCCGCTAACACAGACGCGACCCGGCGGAAGGCCGCCGGCAAGTGAAGGAAGGTGACTCTGTGTCCCCACCAAGGCACCTCCCCCCTGCCCAGCGGACGCCCGGTGACGACCCCCGGGAAGGCTGACGCGGTCTGAATGAGCTGCCCGCAGCACTCGCTCAACAGGACACGGCTGTTCAAACCCTCCTGAACAAATGCTGTCCAGGTCACCAAACCGAGGGTCTTTCCCGGCCCTTGAGCACCAGACTCAGAGCTGAGGGTGCGAACCACACCCAGAAACTGCCTGGCATCCCCCCCGGCCCCCTCATCAGCCAAGTGCTTAATCAGAAGCGGAGATTTAAACTTGAAGACGACGCAGCACGCCGTGCCATCACAGGGCCCGCCTGGGGAAGATGTCCCAGAGAGGAAACTGGGGTGGCGGGGGGCGGACAGGAAGGGCCAGACCAGCGGAGAGCAAATCCTCCCCTCCTGGCTCCCCGCGGCCCAGGAGTGCGACTGCTGACGACAGATAACACCAGTAAGAGCCACCAAGGCAGAAACAGGGGCGGCTGTTTGGGGACGGCCTGCACCCTCCCGCCGAGAGCTTTCCCCGCACCGGGCCTACCTTTCCACAGGGTGAGGGCCAGCAGCTGGTGGAGACGGGGGTGGCCCAGCTTCCCTGATCCTCCACTGGACCACTTCAGGGCTCGAGACACAAAAGCCACTCGCTCTGGGGAATTCGGGTCCATCAGACTGAACAGTTTAGCCAGATTTTCTAAAACGACACAAACACAGACCCTTATCCAGAGAAGCGCTGCCGTTCAGCGCCCCACAAACCACAGGTCAGGGTTCACCGAAACAAGAACTATTCCGCCCCGGAGCTGAGAAATGGCGTTCTGGTGTGTCCCAGGCTCCCCCCCCCCCCCCCCCCCCCCCCCCCCCCACCGCCGCTGACCTCTCGGCCGCCAAGTCAGCAGCCTGGAGGCTCGGCCTGTGTCCTGGAGCAGAGGGGGAGGTGGACTACAGCAGGGAGCTGGCCCCCAGGGGACCCGCCCCGATGCACACTCAGCGTGCGGGCAGGCTGGCAGGCGAGGTGCCAGCGTCCACCAGAGAGGGCGCGCGCGTGCGCGTTGGGGCGTCACTACTCCACGTGCACAGGTACCTCGTGCACAGTCAGAAAGCCTCACCCAACAGGTCAGCGGCCACCTCGACTTCCGCCTTCTCCAGCGACTCTAAGACCAACATGGACAAGTCCGCAGCGCTGTTTTGCTACAAAACACAGAAGTGAGTAGGAATCACAGAAGCAGAGCCCTGGCTGGTCTTTAGAAGCCCCGGCAGAGCTGGACGGCTGCTCCGGTGTCCAGCCAGAAACGCGTGGCGGGGAGACGCACGGGGCCCCCCAGGCGGGGCGCCTGGAGGACGGAGACCCTGGCCGGCGCGGCACCCGGCACCCTCACACGGCACCCCGGATGCAAGCACAGCCGCCTGGCGGTGGCCAGCGACAGGGACGGTCCACGGTCGTCCGCCACACCTCTCCCTGGTCGCTCCCTTTCCAACCCGCAGGCCCCGAGCAGAGGGGGAAAGGCAGGCCCGCGCGTACTTGGCCGTGGCTGAAGAACAGGAGTGCCCCCGAGCACATGAGCTCCCGCGCCTCCGTGTGCTTGCTCTGTGACATGTACCTGTAAGACAGAGAGGAGGGCGGAGCCCCAGTTAGGCCCGGTTAGGCCCCGTGCTCCCCCGCAGACGTCCTCCACAGTCCGACACGCTCTCGGAATCGCGCTCGCCCAGCCCAACGGCTACGGTTTAGAGAGAAAGTGCAAAAGATACAACGTGGGATGAAACACAGGAACTTTATACGGCAAACGATCCCGGAAACACGCGTGTGCGCCTGCGTGCGTGACCGACCAAGAACAGAGTCGAGCTGTGTCGTCGCCTGAGGCCTGCCACCTCACCGGGCGGTCATGGCACCCTGGCCCCCACCCACCGTGGCAGAGAGTCCCTGCCGTCAGCGAGGCAGGCCTCGGGGGACTGGCAGACCCACACCCCCCATCTGACAGCAGCACGGGTGGGGGGCCCAGCGCAGCTCAAAGGTCGCAGCAGAAGGACCCAGAGAAAGGCTGGATGACGTCCACCCCGAGCACACAGGCCCTGCTTCGGTGGTGGGACCCATGTGAAGGACAGAGCGACATACTGGTGTCCATCGGAGAACCAAAGGTCAGGGCCCCGCTCGGGGGTCGGGACAGCAGGAGCTCACTGGGGGACGTCGACTCTCTCTGTGGTCCCCACTCCCTCCACCCCACCCTGTCCTGCCTCACTTTCCCATTGTGGACACATTTCTCAGTTTCCTTAACTGCAGAGGGATAGACACACCGAGAAGCCGGAGCCTGGCAGGCAACTAAACACAAACAACAGGATGGCAGTCTGTCTGCGACAGGCGACATTTAGCGAAGCCGAGCTGAGCCCGAGAGAGAGCCAACGGCAGGAAGCAGCTCCCCGCAGCCCGGCGCAGAGCTAAGCGCGCGACCCGACGCTCGACTCGCTGGCCGTGCGTCTATCTCCGTGATTATCAGAAAAGAAACAGAACCAAAACAAATCGAAGAAAGATACCAAGCGAGCAGCACAAGGTGCTCCCAAGACAGGCAAACAGCAAACACGGAGGCCTGGGAGCCCGTCTGTAGCTCGTCCCGACCGGCAGGCCGGGGGGGGACGTGAGCGCCTGGCTATTCAACTAACCACAGAAATGGTCTTTGTTTCACCAAGGTTCCACGACCGGAACCCCCCAGGACAACACGGCCCCGCCGCGATCAGCACACAGAAGACCCATCTGCCGGGCGGGGGCGGCACCGGTGGGGGGAACCCGCAGCCTGGCCAGAAAACCACCGCCAGCCTGCGGGCTGCGCGCCCCCCACACGCCCAGCTCGTCGCAGCCCGGTCCTGCCGGGGGCCCACACTGCCACGGGCGGTCCCGGGAAGGCGAGTTCCAGAGGCGCGCAGCCCCACGCTGCCACCGGCACGGACACGCGGAACCGCAGGCACCTCTCCGTGACAATCCTGCCAGCGTGTCGCTGCTTACACGAGACGTGACAGGGCTCTAGACTCTCCCGTCTGAGATAACCTCTCAGAGCACCAGATGACAGAAGTCCCTGGGACGACAGGGCCTGCTTTCGAGCACCCGCAGCTCCAGGGCTGGGGGCTCCAGGGGGAGCGGAGCAACGCAACGGTTCCACGGCGCACACGCCCGGCTCGGGGAGCTCGCGTGTTGCAGATCAAGCAAAGCTGGAAAAAACGGAAACAGTGAAAGGCGATCGTGAGAAATGCACGTGCTTCTGTCTGGAATTCAGGGGATGGGAAGGGATTTAGTGCCGGGGCCCAAGGCGTTGGGGGGGGGGGGGGGGAGCTGAGAGCAGGCGGGGCACCGTCCACCATCCATGTGGCCCTGACGTCAGCACACATGTGTACGCGCCAATGGAACCTGCACCTGGCCAGCACGTGATTGGGGCGGGGGCGGGCGCCCCACCCAGCCTTGTGCCTTGTCCGTTGATTCTGCTTTTTATTAAAAGAAGCAAGCAGAACGTAACAAAAACGTTAATACTACCAATAGAAATTGTGGGGTCAGAGAGAGGCATGTCAGGTGTCAGCTAACAGCACCCCATGCTGTGGAGCTCAGGAGGGCTCAGCATCACCGCAGGGTCACCCCGAGAACACGACCGGAACCCCCTGGAACCCCCTGGCGCGGCCCCCTCCTTTAGGAAAAGTTCCTTATTTGCTTGGAGGTTGCAGAGAACACGTGTTTTAAGTTTTTCTTTTAAAAATTTTCATTTGATTCGGGAGGCAAAACAGTGACACAAATGTCAGAAGGCCCCTGGGAAGGAAGACGGATTTTGGTGAAATCAGAGGGACGCAGGCTGGATGCAGAGGGGCCCCCCCGGGAGGTGACAGTGGAGGCACTGGGCCAAGGGAAGCCAGAAGTGGGGGGCTAGAGAACTACTGAGTACCCATAACCCAACAGGCCTGGAAAAGAGACTCCCTCCTAGTCCCAGAGGAGCTCTGAAGACACTAAGTGGCCACCTGCTGGCACCCCAGGGGGGTGGGGTGGGGCGGAGAGGGGGCAGAGCGTCCAGCTGAACGACTGGACCTCTGCCACGGTCCACGCCTAAGGGACGCGCACCAAGTAAGCCCGACCCACCCGACTGCCCGATTCCGGGCTCCCTTCTCCTTCAGCTGCCCTGAAGTACGACAATTACAAGTGTAATTTGTGAAAGTCTCTGACAGGTGAACGGGTGCCAAGCTGTGGTCCATCCGCACTACAGAACACCACTTGGCCACAGAAACGAATTAACGCTACGCACGGGGGTAAATCCTGAATGATCATGTTGCGTGGACCCGAAAAAGACAAAAAGAGGATATGATTCCACTCACGTCACATTCTAGAAAATGCGAATCCATCTACCGTGACCGTGATGCAGAGATCAGGGGTTGCCTGGGGGCGAGGGGTACAGATGAGAAAACTTAGGCAGTGACGGAAACTCTTAGTATCCTGACTGCTGACGGTTTCGTGCGAGCACATGCCAAAACTCATCAGAGTGCGTGTTCTACGTAAACTCTTACACAAACGTGTATTTACTTACACAAAGACCAAAAACCTAATGTAACTCAGTGAACCTGACTTCTCCCAGAGCCACGCACCCAGGAGGAGGGTTCTAAACAGGTCCGCACGGACGGTACCCTGGGAGACAAGGACAGCTCCCGGCTGTTTCACTCAGACCTTGTGGACGCCACAAATGCCACCACCAACTTCGTCCCCAGGGAGGCCAAAGGCAGATCATTTACTTTTCCCAACTACCAAGAGGTGAAGGTACACCCCACTGCCCCACGACCAAGCCGAGGCTGAGACAGGTTCAGCAAGATGTCGTGGGTCACTGGTCACAGAGCAGAGGTGGAATTCGAAGTAGGTCAAGGCTGTGCTGGCAGAGAGCATGCTTTCCGTCACCACCCCCGGCCACTCCAGACACACACCCTGTGCAGAGACACTTGCCTCTTTATAGCTATCAACACCTCCTTTCCCCACACGGGCAGAAGTGTCTCAAAACAAGAAACACTGTTCATTTTCGGGAAGATCCAGTTTCGCTGATTAATCACTGGGGCAAATATTTACATACAAATCCCAGAGAACAGCGAGCACCGGGGCAGATCTCCAGGCCACATGGATATCTGATTGCCAAGCGGCCAGGCGGAAGGCTTCATGTTGCAAACTTCAATGCCTAGCCTACTCAAGTCTTTGGCTGATTCCCTGAACCACAACCAACTCACTCCTACCTGGTCCTCTAAGCCAACAGAGCCCACCCGGTCGTCTGGGACGTGACGAGCCGCACTCAGAGCACCTCTGAGTCCCCAAGACCTTGATCCAACTGGTTATTTAAAGAAAATTAAAAAACCTAGGCCGAAATGGTGAACAGGCCCGACTCTGTGGCAGTTGGGAAAGAAAAAGCAGGCCACAAAACAGCTTTAACCACCTATAAAATGGTCTTTAAGGCCTATCCGACTCGCAACGAACGGCCCATTGTGTTCTGGCCTGAACCGTAGAGAAGCGGCAGAACTTACCGGAATGTGCCAAGAACCACCCAGAAATCACAGCAGCGGACGTGTTACAGCGCAACTACCGAAAGAAAATTAACGCAGGCCACGCGACACTCGCCAACGCTCCAGGGCCGCACCGGAAAAGCACATTTTATCGCCCGCAACCCGCAGCGGGCCAGCTTGCATGCGTCGCGAGCCCTGAGCGCCCCCGCGCCCCGCAGCTCAGCGCCTGGGACACTCACCGTGGCGCCGGGGCTGCCGGCCGCGCAGGTGCAGGCGCAGCGCCGGGCTCGCGGGCACGGCTGGCCCAGCGCGCGGCGCAGGAGCCCCGGGGCAGAAACACGCTTAACCCGGACGACCGGACCGCCGGGGGACGCAGACCCCGAGGCTCGGTCCCGGGGTGGCCGTGGCTGGGCGAGGCCGGCCAGGGGCCTGGAGAGTGGATGTGTCGGGCCAGGCATGGGGCGGCCGGGCCGGGACTGGGGGAGGCCCGGCTGGCGGGGAGCTGGGCCGGGGCACGGGGGAGGCCGGGCTCGGCGTCCTCAGTCCTCCGCCTCCCGGCCGCCCGCCTGCTCCGACCGCCGCGGCGACAGGCAGCGGCGCGGGCCAATGGGGGCGCGGG